ACATTCGACTGAACCCACTGTGCGCGATACCCAACGCACAAATATTTAGGAACGGACGTTCCAAATCGAGACGGAATCATCTGCTCGCTCGGCGTGTGGTGTGTGAAACTTCGACACGCAGAGCACAGGTACATACACAATCACGTCTCGTATCCAATGCGCCTTCAGCAGCACGCGCGGCCGTCTCATGACTGACGCACATAGGGCTGTGCAGATTCCGCCGCGAAAGTCATGGGCTGTGCTCGTGTCAGATAAGCTCCCTCTGGTGTAAACTGGACAGAATGCTCCGCGGACCACCAAAATATAGGTCGCGGACCACCAGTGGTCCGCGGACCCCCATTTGGCCACCGCTGCTCTACACAGTGGACCAAACCTCACCCAGGATCTTCTTGGCGTGATGATGAGGTTCCGGACTCAGTCGATCACCTTGCTCGCCGACATCGAGAAGAGTTTTCCGCAAATAATCATCGAAGAAAAAGACCGGGACGCTCTGCGATTTCTTTGGGATCTCGACAATTCGGGGCACCCGCGTACCTTCAGGCTCACCCGAAATTATTTCGGTTTTGCGTCTTCGTCTTTCATACTGGCTGCCTGCATCCAGACGCTGATCAAGTGGCATGAGCCTGCGTACCCAGAGACTGCCAGGCTGATCAGAGAGAATCACTACGTAGACGACGTTGCAACAGGTGCAGCCAATGAAAAAGAGGCCATGGAGATCTACAAGCAAACAAAAGAAATCTTCGCTCACGGCTCATTCAACCTCCGGAAGTGGAGTTCAAATTCAGCGGCGCTCACAGAGATGTTCCGACACAACGGAGATGGCATCGAGCAGTACGATTCATCCAGCTGGTGTCGAGTACTGGGGATGAACTACAATCAGAGTGCAGACACGATGAAGCTGATCGTCACCAATGCCAGCACCAACCTCGAGATTGTTACGAAGAGGACGGTTCTAAGCATAGTGGCGTCAGTTTTCGACAGAATGGGCATCGTAGCTCCATTATTGGTACCTGCAAAAGTCTTGATGCAAAAACTGTGGACACTGAAGATATCTTGGGACGATCCAGTACCAGAAGACGTAAACCGAGACTTCAGAAAATGGATCGAAGATCTGAAGAGGATCGAATCTGTAACCATCCCACGAAGATATTGGGAGGGCGGAAACCCGTCGGAAAAAACTCTACACGTTTTCGCTGACGCATCTCAGCACGCGTATGGCTTCTGCGCTTACATCGTATCGAGCATGGGGACTAGTAGAACAAGCACCCTCATGCTGGCCAAATCAAGAGTTGCACCTCTGAGGAACGCAACGATCCCAAGGTTGGAGCTCATGGCGCTAACTTTGGCTGCCGAAGCGTTGAGCTACATCCGGACACAGTGTCGCATCGAGTGCGAAGAGGAACACCTTTGGACCGACAACTCGGGCGTTTTCTTCCAAGCAACATCGGAGTATCCGGAGAAACTTCCGACGTTTGCGAGAAACCGAGTACAGAAGATCAGACAACTCGCAGGGCGAGCAACCATTCACCACGTTCCCGGACAACTAAATCCAGCAGACCTCGTCAGTAGAGGATGCACCTTCAGTGAGTTCGAAAGAAGTTGCTGGCTCTCCGGACCCGACTTTATTAGGAAACCAAAATCAATGTGGCCAAAGCCACCAGGAGAATACCAGTCGGAACCCTTACAGGCCACCGAGGCAAAAGAGCTCTCGGAGTTCAAGAGCTTCCTGATCCGCAGACCGGAGCAGCCGGAAGAGGTGGCAGTGAACCTCGTAGTCGATACGCAGTCGACTTTGCAGAATGAACCCGTACTTCGTTTCGATTCCTGTAGTCGATGGAACTTGTACCTTCGAGCCGTGGTTAGGTTTCGGAGAACCGTTGATTACTGGAGGAAGCGGGGTGACAAGGAACAGCTGCAGAGCCCAATCCTGCAAGAGGAGCTCGAAAGAGCCGAGACATTCATTGTATCACAAGTTCAGGCAGCGAGCTACGGTCAAGAGATACGACACATCACCGCAGGACTCAATCTCCCGAAGACTTCACCCATCCGAGTGTTCGCGCCGTTCCTCAAAGACGGCCTTCTCTGCTTAGGCGGAAGATTGGAAAGCAACGTGGGAGAGCTTCCCAAACATCCAGTCATCTTGCCTCCAAAGCACCCGGTAACGAGAATGATCCTGCGGGACGTCCACGAGAGGAGTTGTCACGCAGGACCGACGCACGTAATAGTAGCGACCCGCCACAAATACTGGATACCACAGGGGAAGCGTATCGTCCGAAACATCATACACAGTTGCAAGAACTGCCGAGCATTCCACCTGCGACCAGCGTCGGCCACAGTAGGCCCGCCGCCGGAAGCAAGGGTTTCAAAATCTCAGCCGTTCGAGCATGTGGGAACGGACGTACTCGGACCACTAATGGTGAAACAAGGAAATGAACAGAAGAAGGTATGGGTCATACTCTACACCTGCTGCGCCATGAGAGCAGTTCATCTCGAAATCATACAGTCGTTGTCGACTGTCGAGTTGATGATGAGCTTGAGAAGATTCAAAGCTCGACGCGGATGCCCGCGAACGTTCTACTCCGACAATGCAAAAGCATACCAGCGAGCAGCAGAGGACCTCAAGGCTCTATGTGAACTAATGAAGAACACGAATATCCAGGAACAACTAGCGACAGAGGGTATAGAATGGAAGTTTTCAATCGAGAGAGCACCATGGTACATGGGCTTCACAGAGAGATTAGTGGGAAGCGTTAAGTCGGCGCTGAAGAAAGTCTTGGGAAAAACAGTCGTCACTGAGCAAGAATTGTTGACAGTGCTCTGTGAAGTCGAGTCCATGATCAATAGGCGGCCGCTGTGTGACGTGCCAGAGTCGGAGCACATCGACGTTTTGACCCCCATGCACTTCCTCGTGAATCGCACAGAAGACCCCGTACAGGAATCCATCGCACCGAACAAAATACGAGCTCAAGATCTCCTGAAACGTTGGCGACACAAGAAACTCATTGTGGAGTCGATCTGGAAACGATGGGAACATGAGTACCTCCTGCTTCTGAGAGAGTTCCACGAGAAGGTACCGAAGGATTTGAGCACCATAACCGTCGGCCAGGTGGTCATCATCAAAGACCCGAAAACGCCAAAGCTGTTCTGGAGATTAGGTAGGGTCGAGAAGCTTAACTTCAGCAGAGACAAGGTGATCAGGTCATGCTTGTTGAGGTTGGGAAATGGGCGGATGACCCAGAGGGCTCTGAAGTATTTGTATCCACTCGAGGTGGTGTAGAATAATTGGACACGGACTGAGCCTGTACAATATAGGTTGAGTTCTAATTATCAAAATGGAATCGGAAATCGAGACGTTCTCCTAGCCCGGAGTGTCACCGCCGCTCAAAAGAGCGTCGTGCGACGCTTAGCAGACAGCGAACAGAAATCAAAAACAATGAGTGTACGAATGATTGTGACAGGTGGCGGACCACCGTGAATTCCTAGCAATAAATTTGTGATCAAGATTCATACCCAGTTCAGTTATCTACCCCGGCAAGTCCGCGACAGGCTCCTTTCACGGTCTGCGGCACAGACTACGCGGGACCAATCTCTTATCGGCATGAAGACGGCACTCTTCGAAAAAGCTACATTTTGCTATTCGTGTGTCCGGCTTCCAGAGCCATTCATCTAGAGCTTGTTCCAGACATGACGGCGTATGAATTCCTCTTGTCGTTGAAGAAATTTCTCGGCCGATTCAGCAGCGTAACGCGGATCATGTCAGACAACGGCCTATCATTCGTCAGAGCCGCGAGGGAATTAAGGATAATATAATCTACGATCACGTAAAATGTCCAGCCGTTCAGCAGCACCTCGTCAACGCGGAAATCACGTGGGAATTTATCACTCCTCACGCACCCACCCATGGCGCATGGTGGGAACGCATGGTGCAGACAGTGAAACGTCCCCTAAGGAAAATTCTAGGTCGAGGCGCGCTGTGGTTCAGGGAGCTAGAAACAGTTCTGGTTGAAATCGAATCCTTGGTGAACGAGAGACCTCTCACGGCAGTGCAACTCGATCCGAATGAGATCGGCGCGTTGTCGCCAGCAGATCTACTCTACGGACATAGAGCGAAGCCGACCCTGCCTGAAATGAAATTCAAACCAGATTCGCGAGAAGCAGCGAACTCGATAGTTTTCTCGAGGCGTTGGAAACACCAGCAATCGGTTATTCGAGCCTTCCAGAAGCGGTTTTCGCAGGAATATATCCAGTATCTAAGAACCGCGCATAGTAGGAATCCGTCAGAGTCGCGCAGCGTGCAAGTCGGCGATGTATGCCTCTTGCAGGATCCAAGTCCTTCGAAAGCGCGTTGGCCTCTATGTCGAGTGCTGAGTCTTTCGGGCGGGGAGAGAACGGATCGTCGGCAACGATCCTGCCTCATCAAAACGGCTTCAGGCCAAGTCTTTCAGAGACCGGTGCAGTGGCTCTACCCGCTAGAGGTCTAGCTACGAGAGAGTAGTGAGAACGAGCAACGGGTAATACCACTACATGATATTACATATATAAAGAAATAATATTACATAGAACGTATCGGCGGGCCCATCAGACGAAGGGGGAGAGATTGCGGTGGCGCCCCAGGCCCATCTCATACGCATCGGTTTGCGTTTCGGCGTCTCTTCGAGGCGGACGGGACGCCGCGGGCGCGGCTCCTTCGGCGGCGGCGGGCGCGGCTCCTTCGGCGGCGGCGGGCGCGGCTCCAATAGCAGCGAGCGGGGGCACTCGGGCGTCGGCCACGGGTCTCTCCTCGACCGTGAGCGTGTGGAGTGGGAGCAACCGGACCAGGAACTGCTGCACGAGGTACTCACTTACGGGTACGGGCGGCGGCTGTCGAGTCCCGCGGGCTCGAGCGAGGCGGGCGGCGACACAGTAGGGTCGCCGATCCTCGAATTCCATCAGGTCCCAAACCTCACGGGCGGCCGCACGAAGGTCGGAATAGCGGCAGATGGGCAGGCGCTGGGTATGCACGACGGAGCTTAGGAAGATCCCGAGGGGACTGACGCGGAAGGTTGAGGACATGGTTCGACTTGTACGGCGATCAGAGTGTTCACGAGTCGGGAGCACGAGTGGCCTAAGATTTTCCGGGAAGTCAAAGTTCGGGTTCGATTCGGGAGAGAATAGCTCTCAAACGCTCTCCAAAACCGGGTAGAATTTCGTAATGTCCATCCAGTGGCCCGGTTCCAGACCCCGACGCGTCGACTCATATGTCTGCTCTGCACATTTCGCACTACTAGTTAGCTCGTTAGGATTCGAATGTCATTTCCGTAGGTAGAGATCCAGTCAATTTCTCCAGGAAACAGAGTTGACCGGAATTCTCGAATCTCAAAATCCTGCGTCGCACCCTCCGGATGAAGCGGAAGAGATCTCGACTGTAAGGCATCCGGAGTGTCATTTCGAGAATTCGGCCGGGAGTGTGACGCATATCTAGGTAGAATTTATATGCTTCAATAAAGAGAGAGCCGAGAGACGTCGTGCCATGGTCAGGTTCGCCGAGGCGCGGGGCAGCCCCGACGTGCAACGTGCAGCGGCGGACGTTCAGCGTCAGTTGAGAACCAACCGTCGACCGAGACGGTGAGAGAGACCACGACGGCATCGGCAATTTAACCGAAATTCAGTTTCGTATTCTTTCCGACGCCAAACTGTGGCTTCATAAGGCCAGCGTGCTCCAGCTGACCCTCCCGGTGTGATCGAGCATGGGCCTGCGTTCTGGTATCTGGAGCTCGAACTCCTCTGAAAAAAAACAGTCGTGATATGAGATTCAAGATTCAATCGTCATTCCTTATCCGAAGAACTCAGTTCCCCAACGAGATTTATCGGCCGGCTCCGGGGATCGAACTTGGAACCACCCGACGATAGCGTCGCGGCGCCGGCGTCATCATGGCACGCGGCTCCCTGCGCCGCGACGCAGGCGCTAAGCACTCGGCCGCCGCGCGCTTGATGATCGAGGTCCGGCGAAACCCTCTGAAGCTGCGCCTATTACTCGTCGTTTATCCTTATAATTCGCTAGGGACAAACAAAGAATAGGTTTCCCCGCATTGATCGTTTCTTCATCGCACGGCGGGTCTTCGATGCTCCAAACTTCCGGATAAGCTGAGATTGAGATTTTCGAAGTGTCGTCCATTCTCCGGCGAGCGATTCCGTGCCAAGCGGCAACGGATCGCTGCTGCGGGCTGCGATTCAAACTTCGCCATCTCACGGCGAATCGATCACTCAACTTAAGTGGGGATCAGCCTCGAGCCTCGAGGATACCAATAGATTCGAATGCCGCATCTCAATTACGCCATTTCGCTCCGGGAAATTTCCGGGCTTCCAGCTCTGAATATGATGAAAACAGAGCGAGAAGTGGAAATCTATATATAGGCTTTCGAGAACGTGGCAACTACCCAAATGATCGTGCAGTTCACGGGAGTAGATCCTCGAAGGATAAGCTCGCGGCCTAGTTTAATAAAAGGTGCGACTATTCCGAGCACTTGCCATTTTTGTGTGGGTCCCTCGCAGCTTTCGGTTGCAGGATCTCCATCCACATCCACAATGACCCTGACCATCGGTCATTCGACCCCAGTCACGCCACCTCTCGCGCGAGCCACGTCATTCATGATTTGAGAGCGGCTTCAATTGGTGAAAAGCACGTTTGCACGAGAAGTGGCGGACGACCTGACATCTTGGACACCCGTTGCGCTCGACCAATCGCGCTGTCTCGCTGTCATGCGATGTGTTAAGTCAGACGACAAGTTATGGCTATTTGGATGACGAAGTACATCGAACAGGTCACCCGAGCCTGGGTAATGACAGTAATGACGTTTTCACGTCAAAGCACGGCGCCGACTCGAAATATTCCATCTCTGCTCTTCAGATCGTCTATTCATACGAGTTTCCTGAGCTTTTCGGGGGTATGCCAGAATCGGTGCGGAAGACCCAGCTAGCCTTTGAGGTTTCACTCAAAAATCCGGAAGACAAAGCTCCCGTAAATTTCCAGCATTTTGACACTCTGCCGTACGAGGTGTGTCGCTTATCACCGGAGTTCTGTGCAGTAATCAGGGCGTTACTGGGGTAGCTATGGCCGAATGCTGTAGATCAGAATGCACATCTTGAAGAGACGGTTATAGGAGGAGGTGATGAGAGAAAGAGGAAGAAAGAGGAGAAACAAAAACAAACCGAGGCGGCACTGAAGGATATCGGTGACCAAGCCGAAGGTATGGCAGTTGAGGAGGTCAGGAGAGACCCGATCACAATGACTGTCTTGGTCGGAGAGAGTATCCTCGAAGACCTCAAGAACGAGAAGATCCTCGTGGGTCTCCTCGGTAGGAAGTGTCTCCTACGCGAGAAGAGGAGACTAGTGGCGAAACACGCCGAGAAGATCGACCAGATCTTACTCGAAACCGATGCAACGTATGTGCATCTGCTCCTAGAAATAGGAATGACCAGCCTGCGCGACGAGGATTTCCGAGCGTGGAGAGTCAAGGATCTCGGGGACGAGATCATTAAATTGATAAATAATTCATCATCAAACGGGAAAATCGTCTCCGTGACCTGGGTGAATCTCCCAGAGAAAGGGGACTTGGCCCAATCGGCGATTGAGGTCAATAAGATGGTCGAGCAATGGGCCGAAACGGAACCAGATAGAGTTTCAATCCTCAATCTTCGAGGAATATATTTGAACAAGCTTTTATTCAATAACGATCGCCTGACGAAACAAGGCAGCCAGGAGACGGGTAAAAAACTCGTAGCCTGGTATATCAAAAAACTCCTCCTCGATCAGACTGGGGAGGAGGAATTGGAGGCTCATATGAAAAGGATGAGAAACAAATCTCTCGAGACTGAGAGGTCAAAAAAGGAGAATAAACGGGCAGAGGATACTGCCCAAACGGGAGGTCCTAGCGGCAGCCAGGGCCACGCCGGTAGAGGGGCGGGAGAGGGGGCAGGATCGCCCCATACTCTCGTGGTCCGCACAGAGGGACGAGCCCAGGACAGGGCCGTTCCAACTGACGGCCATACCCCCCAGCAGCCACATCGGAGGATTCCAGGCAAGCATCGAGAACACGAGCTAGGAGCCGACGGAAGAAGGGATCCCCAAGAATAAACGATGTCGTTGTTAGAGACTATGAAATCAGAATCGGTGTTCTTAATCTCCGGGGGGGGCAGAACAAAGAGCAAATGGAAATGCTTAGTTGAGGACGTATCCACCGATATCGACAGGAGGGACGGATCGGTGAAAAGAGGAATTATATTCGCCCATGAAACATGGCTTGTGAATGAGGAATGTCCACCAAAAATTCCCCAGTACGAGTGCTTCGGGAGCAACCGCGAGGGGAAAACAGGGAAACATGCGAAAGCCGGGGTAGGAATTCTCATCCCGGTGGATCTAGGTCGAGTAATTTCCTCAGAGAGGGGAAGAGACTTCATGGCCTTGAGAACAGAAATACGAGGATCGGAATGGATCTTCGTGTCAGTATATGTCGCTCACGAGAGAGGACGACAAAATGGTCAGCTGTTTGAGGACATGACAGAATACCTGCACCAAGAATGCAAGGGGGAGACGCACGTAGTGATTGGGGGTGACATGAATGCTCACATAAACCAATTCGCAGAAGTGGAAGATTCCAGAGGTTGGCTGTTGAAGAATTTCGCGAGCCAGAATGGGCTCATCATAGTCAATGCCTCGGAAAAATGTGAAGGGAAATTCACTCGGGAGGACGCGGTCATCGACTATGTACTGTGCAACGAAATAGCCTATAGGAAACTCAGGGGTATGAAGATTGATGAGGAGACACTGAGAACCCAGATCTCAGACCACAATCTGATAACAGCTGAGTTCATATTCGAGATGAGAGAGGTCCGAAACATCTCGAAAGATGAAGGGAAACCGAGAGCCATGGTAGACAAAACCGGAGCGAGTATAGAAACCAAGGAGACCCTGAGGGAGCAGATGCTGGACGATCGGTCAGCTAAGTACGAAACTCTTAGGGAGGCCATCTTGAGCAATATTAAGAAACATACAAAAAAGATCAGGGTCGTCCAGAACCACCCGGTAATATCGAGGGAACTATCCCTACTATACAGAGAGAAAAAACGAGTGGGTAGGGAGCTGCGGAGGGCGTGGAAGATGGGAATGGACGCTGAGAAACGCAGTATAGCGGAACGATTCAAGGAGACTCAACAGAGAATCCACGACCAGATCCTGACAGAGATAGCCCTCCACGATCGGAAAATGTATGACCACTTAATCCGAGCACCACGAGAAGTGAGAGCCAAACGTTTTTGGCAATACACTCGAAGAGAGGAGCGAAGCCAGTCCGAGCCTACGAAAGCCGTCGATGACACCGGCGCGGAAGTGAGAGAGGAGGACATGACGGAGCATCTTACAACGGTGCTTAGAACGCTTCTAGAATGTGGAGATGCCGCTCGAGGAGACCAGGAAAGGGAATCTCACCAGGGCGTAGTGAGAGCG